AAAAAAATGGAATTTAATATACTTACATGTAGATACTATATGCCATGGAAAAGAACATAGACTACTTTTCATCCCGGTAAAAGCTAATATCCAATAAAATAAAAGGCATTTTTCTTTGTTTGCAAATAAAAATATCAAATTTAAATACTTATTGGTTAACATCGATTATTACTCCTTCAAGCTTGTTAAGTATATTCGTTTTGAATCGAAACATTCTTCTGAATTTTTGCCCTTCGGTAGCAAACGCCCCAAAAGTATTCGATCAATTACTTGCCGTAAATCCGTAGTAACTCGAAACTTTATGCGATATGCCAATTTCGTTGTGAAGAGGCCAATAGTTTTCAATTTCGCCTCCCTCACCTGTCCTGTCGCTCTCAGTTAATCCAGCATTTTATTAGCGTGCCCTCGTAATGCCGTGCACGTGCACTCTTCTTGGCTTTGTTCTATGGAAATTACTGTCCAAAATGAAAAGGATGCAACTTACTCAAACTTTTAAACGAATCTGAACCTTACAAAATGATCATAAAACACAATATTCAATGTGACTATTGAACGTTTGCGTCGTTCTACTTTTTTCGACTGCGATGTTATTATTTCGTTTTGGCGGGCCGTGACTGACATTCAACAAAGTCGATGTTGCCATGCGGAATAAACTGTTATACGCGTTATGAGAGATTACCCGGTAATCTGGGAATATTGAAGACAATAAAATGAGCTTACAACGTTGAGTGGTTGGGAGCAATCGAGGGCACAAAGGTAAATATTTCGTAGCATTATCTAAGTATTTATTCTTTACGTTCTTAAGTTTATTTAGCAATAAAGTTTAAGATATTTACGTGTATTTATTTATCATTTTCATTAGCATATTTGATTTAAATAAAAATATTTAAAAAAATTAATGTGTATGCTTTAGATGCAAATAATTTTTTTGCCTATCTAAACAAACCTTAATTATATATAATTATAAAAAAATATATAAGCGGTAACGTCATTTTTTTCCATAGTATGTAACTAATGATGTTGATGTAGTTGTACTCAGTTAAAATAAAAGAAACAATTAAATTTATAAACAATTACTAAAAAGTATACTATTTTACAGTCAAACAAGCACATTTATTGTATATCAATCAATATTAATGCCAATATTTCAATTATAAAGTGATTTATAATTGAAATATTAGTAAATAAACTTATTGAGAAGTATTTGTAAGTGGTACTCATATTAGGTAGGTATTATTGGATTTAAAAGAGATTGAAACAAGTTGATAAAACTCATTAATTTTTATTAATTTTATAAATTGAAATTCATTACACCCCACTTTTCATTATAATTACAAATTCCTTTCATGTTATTACTATTATTTATAATTATAATCCATAATAACGTCCCCTAAGCGTACCTATAATAATTACATCGACCTAATCTCAGAACATATAAATTATGTTTAGAAAAACATTAATTACATATCTCTTCAATTTGTTACATTAATCTAAAATATAATTAAAGTGGCTTATTGCTATTATTCATTGTTTTTTTAGCGTCAAAACACACGCCATTTTGTTGCGGTGTTGCCAGCGCAGTTTGTTAAATTAACCTTATTTACTACATCACTATTTACAATAGAGCGGCATTTTGCGGCTTCTACAATTGCAGAAAATAAAAAATATATTTAAGTACAGTTCAATCGACTTATAAAATATAATAATTGAAGCTCGTATTTTCTTTGTCCAGAGACTAATAATTTAACAGTAAGGACGAATAGTTTATTAACTAGTAAGCTAGTTTTTATTCTAGTCAGTAACTATCTAATTTGATATTTAATTAAATAATGTTTGTTAATTATTTTAAATAAAAAAAATATTTTAATCATCGTTTATGTGAATATCAAATTACATGATGAATGACTAAAATAAAAACACTGTCCTCATTAACCGTTGTAAATTTTGACATAAGCATGTTAAAAAAATATATTAAACTTTTTTTTTAAATTACGAAACTTCGCTGAGAAAGTGCTTTCATTTAATTAAATCTTACTTGTGACTTGACATAGGTACCTACTTATAGGTAGGTGCTTTTTTGTTAACCAAGAATACTTGATAAGTTTGTTTATTATATTTTATTTCTGTGCAAAATGGAATGGTAGACAATCTGATGGCTTAACCAATAGAAAATAGCAAAACTGCATTCATATCAAGATAAATGAAGGTTTCCCGATTTACCTTACTGAAATTTTTGTATTACTGCATTTCTTTTGTTGATTTGTGAAACCTTATTTTTATCTAATTAATTAATCAATTCGTACCAATTCGTAATTAACACTGTAAAAGCCATTTACCTATACATTTAAAAACATAACTATTGCCTAATAATATAGTAAAGAAAAATCGTTGTATTTCCAAATCGATAGATTTGCCACAAAATTGTTTTTTATGGAATTATAAAATGGCAAAGAAGCTGTTAGAGTAGTTCGATACGATTTCTATTGACACTCGCCACTCGACTTTGGCAAACAAAACCGTATGACAATAGGTCCTATGCCTAAATATGTCTGCGAACAATTATAAGCACGTATAAAAACGTATATATGAAGGGTTATTTTGCTGACAGATCGATCGATTTGTGCGTAAATCTGATTATTTAATTTGCTACTAAAATTTGAATTAATTGGCCATGAATAAAACTACACGCTTTTGAAAATAGATTAAAAAAAATGGCGACGAAATTAAATAATTTGTTGGATAAACTTTTTGTGTTATATTAAGTATTTATTTACAAGTAAAATCTATCTACACACACAAAACACTGATTTTTACCATAAATTGTACTATTCACACAACAATTAACTACTTTATCAGTTATTTACAATGAAACGTGAACTGAAACTTGTAATATTAATCAAATTATTGCATCATCGAGTGCAGAATACAAATTTTGGCACTTTGCATTTAAGTAGACGTGTAAAAGCTTGTCCAGAAAATACAATTGGATGCTTATAAAAGTTCTAACAAATGGATGTTCGAGCTTGGAGTTCATCAGGTGAGCAATTAATGATCCGTCACTGATATCATTCGCAGATAGAAGAAGATATATTTGTAAATAGAAATTTAAAAATAAACTAAGTTGAAAAATTTTATAGTAACTCAATCCGATGGGATTCGAATTCGCATCACTCGCTCAGTCTCGGCAACCGAATCGGTTGTTTTTCTAGTTAGGTACAGATATACCTTGATATTGCTTTGGTTTTTTAATATATTAGGTAATAGTCGATCTAATAGACTCTGTCCTGTCCAAATTACCAATTAATTTTCTATCTCTAAAACTTTGACAGATAACAGAAATATTAGGAACATTAAATAATATATTAATTTAATTAAGTAAGTTTATCAATAATTTAAATTAATATAAATTTTGTTGATAATTTATTTTATTATTATTAAATTACCAATCTACCTATGTATCTTATGCATTGGATATACTGTCATAGTTAACATTGTAAAATAATGATAGTCCAGTATTTTGTTATATTATAATAAACTGAAAATGGAAAAACCGGTCTGTGAATTTCTTATTCTCAGAGACGGACTAACGAGGGAGCGAAAGGGATGGCCGGCCCTGGGTCTTTTGGTCCTGCGGAGGGTTCCGGGCGTTCATTTTCCTTATACGTATTATTTATATGTAGGTATATGTTTATTTAAATCTAGTTTAAATTTCACTTGCAAATTTTTAAGTAAAAAGACTTGTACATAAAATGTGATAAAATAAAAAGCCTGTAAAATTTTGTAATCTTCTTAAACAAGGAGCCATATTTAGTTTTGCCACCCCGGACCTATGCTGGACTCAGTCCGTCTCTGCTTACTTTCATAAAAAAATTAAAGTGTACATAGATATAAGTGTTTTTGTTCTAAAATGTATCCCAACAAACTCCTTCAAATACCAGTGACCAATATAATCTATACTTATAATAAACCTATAGAGAGGTCAATTCTATACATGAAATATATTTCCAAAATAACTATCAGCGGGTGATTAGTGATCGATACTGATACCAAAAATACAATCAGTAAAATTTTTGTCTGTCTGTCTGTATATTCATTATAGAAACAAAAATTACTAGACGGATTTTAACGAAACTTGGTACAATTATTCTTCATACTCCTGGGCAGGTTATAGTATAATTTTCATCACGCTACGATCAATAGGAGCAGAGCAGTGAAGGGAAATGTTAAAAATGTCCACCCGTGCGATGCCAAGACGGGCCGCTAGTCTTAAATAAGTACTTTGATTGTATTTTCCGGACAAGATTTGTAAAGTCGATAAACAAAACTATCACACACAAATAATATTCAAATCCTTAGTCGCTTTATGACCGATTTACATTCTCTTAGTCATTAGGAAAGTATATCAGTAGAACAATGTAAACGGTTGCTTTTAATGATCAATACGCAAGCAAGCAAGCGTGTAAGTTCTCATAAAATACTCACATTTGAATGCTACTAAACACTATCCTAAAATCCTAAGATAATGTAAACCGGACTTTACTATAGTAATCAAATATTTACAAATACCCTCCATCCGATCACTTCACTTGCTAAGTGTAGTTTTCTTTTTAGTCACATATCACTTGAATCCACTAATTTCACTAAAATTGTTACTGGCCTAGCTGTAGCGCCCAGCGTTGCCTCACCACGGACAATTTTCTTGGAGAAGCTCCTTATGTACTCATTAAAAACAAATTAAAAATTCGAATTTGAATGTTTATAAACAGAAAAAAAATATGCTCACGACTATATTTCCTAATGGGATAGTCAGAGGCATTCATTGACAAATATTCATAAAATGAATATACGAATGACAATTAATAATGAAGTAATTTTGATAAATATTGAAAGGTATATATATATATATATATATATGTGTGTATATATATATATATATATATATATATATATATATATATATATATATATATATATATATATATATATATATATATATATACATACAGAATAAACTTTATTTAAATTGAACTTAGTTATTTATTAATATCATAACTAAAATAATAAATTAATAGTCGATATTTGGTCTGAGATTTATGTCTCGGACTTCAATACTAATACATACTACCAAATTTGAGGTATCAATGATACTTCTTGAAGCATAATAATAATAAGTAAAAAAAGCAAAAACACAAACATTATGCACTTACGTGAGATAAAAAAACGCATTACTGAAATGAACATTAATAAATAAATGAGAATGAAAAAAAAAAAATAAAGAGGAAAAATAATTTTCGTCGATGGAAACACTAAATCAATATTGCCATAAATTGTAAAGTTTTATTTCTTAATCATAAAAAAGTCTAATAGACTATTATACTGTTTTTTTTTTCTTTGAGGTAAATTTGTATCTATAAATATAGCGGCAACACACGCCAACTATAAAAATGTTGCCAGATGTCACAGAGAAAAAAATTACTCATTGCGAAAATTTTAAATTAATCAAAGTACATCTCCTCCTTGAACATTGTCTCGTGATAAAGCTGTGGGAACTTCTACCAGGCCCTGCCCTGTAGAGGCAGATAGCCCGAGCATTGCTGTTGGTACGCCGTGGGTTGCCGGTACGAGGACACTAGGGGGTTGCTGCACGCGGCCTGCGAGGGTTGGGGCGCGGAGTATCCCGATGTGGGAGTAGCGCAGTGGCTGTGCGCTGGTGACGAGGACTCCCCAGATCCACACGGTTTCCCATCCTTCACCAGGACGGGCACTGCCACTCGCCGGGGCGATGATGAGGACTGTGGGATGATGAAAATGTTAATACTTTGTTTTTCTTTTTTTATATTGTATTTTTTATTACATTACAGTCTAGTGTAATTATTATTAACTGTGACAGCTCTTGGTTGGGCAATGCTTGACTGCGATTTAGTAATCCTGAAATTGAATCTCTGTTCAATCCATAACTTGCTGCATACTTCGAAATGGGCACGCCAAGCAGTTGTCCGATATGCCATGTCAAAGGCCTTCGTGTATAACGAAGAGGGTCTAGAAACTCATGATACCAGAGGGCGTCATAGTAGTAATATTAGGTATAAGAATCTGAATCCTATTTTCATTGTAAATATGAAACGTGAAAATAATAATAACAAATGTATTTATTTAAACAATTACAGCTTATTAGTTAGTAACAAGATGTTTATTAACAAACTAATACAAGTACCTACTTGGTAAAGATTTTTGGATATTTGTTACACAGCAATGTCCTGAATGAACATATAACATACGATTTCTTTTAATCTTATACTTTTAATCTAATTCACACCACGAAATATAGCTTGTTAATCTATAAATTTTATATAAATAAATATACATCTTTACAAATGGGAAATAAAAATTAAAAACATTTTTTCTTCAAAAAAAAAAAAAACTCTTTAGAAATATACAACAAATTACATTCAGTGAATTAATTACATTTACAATTGACATTTAATATTAGTGAGATAAGGTATTAGCCGTTATAATCAGAGTTATATTACTGCCGTGAACAATAAAGTCATTACGCTTCCAGGGAGTAAAGCTCAATCGACGCCCACCACTAACAATCGGAAGTCGCAGCCCCCGCACGTTCCTGCAAATTGAGGCAATCATAGGCTGGCAACACGCGCCTCATTAGGGCTGTCTCCCCGGCTCCAGCTATGCTAACCCCACATCTGTTTCATATAATTACGTTATAAACCTTGCGAGTTTTTGGGAAGTACTTGTAATATTTGAATTGTATCTAATATTTTTAGAAAAAAAAAAATTATAAAGATATCAGCTACATTTATGTGTACTTTATGTTTCAGAAAGAATTGTTTCCCGTTACACAGCTAACGATTTTCGAAGAGACTTAATAATAATAATCAAAATAATTTAGAATTATTGTGTGTCTATACAGTAAAAAAAAGTACCTTACTGAACCAAATTGGAAGTGGTTTTCATAGATTTGTTCGTAAAAGTAGAATTGATGTAAATTTTATCTTGATACCATCAAGAAATGGTTTATGTAATTGGTTTTCCAATTTAATAAATCATATGACTAGTAATCCGACCTGGTTTCACGCGAGTAGATAGAAATATCGAAAATAATATATAGCTTATATTAATCGCTGACAAAATAGGTGTCTAAAAAGGAAAGAATTTTTAAAAACATTTAAATATTTTCTGAGTGTATCCATTCCATATCCATTACAAATTAATGATGAAATCTTTTGTCTGCATAATGTTAGTATAGATACTAGTAATGTATTATATTATTTGTAATATAGATTAAATTATAAGTTTATAAAATAATATATATCTAGAATTAGTAGTAAAATAAATACATCTCAGAGTGGACAACCTAAATATTTTTTAAAAACTTTTATTTAAGTTTACGTAATGCCTAATGGTGTTTAATAATTCTATCACACAAACCTTACGTCATTGGCAATTCGTAATACAAAATAAATTAAATTTCCCTTCTAAATGAAGTCAAGAAAATAATACTTAATTTGATAACCCTAGCAGAAAAAAAACTAGTCGCTATGGGGTTGCCAGCTACCGGTTGACTTACTACCAGTGCGGGCCCCGTATACCTACCCCGTAGCTCGACGGGAGATTCTCTTATGGCCAAGTTTGGTGCTCGACAATCGAGGGGAATCGCTGCGTCGTTGATTTTATCGCTTACTTCTTTAACATGCATTATTCATTAGTTAAATCGAATATTAAAATTGTGCTTGTTCATAAAATTACGCTTTAATATAGAAACAAAATGGTCACAATTCATTAAAAAAAGAAATAATTCGTAATAAATAAAGTAAAATTAATTTATTATTACACTACAATAAATCAAAGAGCATATTCAGAAATAGACTAAGAGAGGTCGAGGGATGGGTAACAGCGTTCCTTTTAAAATACCTCTAAAGCCTAACTGTGGTTGCTAATTCGCCTGCCAAGCATGGCAACTACTGGCAAAACCCCCCAAGGGGGGAGGCTTATGTTCAGCAGTGGGATACAGAGGAATAACACCTGAGTCCTCAGGAATGGCAACGCATGGGGGGTATCATGGGCGAAACAGTATACTCTATTTAGGAAATTCTACACTATTCTATACGCAAATGCAGTAAGTTGGTATTAATAATAACTAGCTATGTACCGTGGTTTCGTCCGCATTAATAAGTAAATAAAGTGTCCTATGTGCTAAGCTAGGACATAGACTATCTGTGTACTAAATTTTAATTAAATCCGTTCAGTAGGTTATTTATACAGCTTAGAATGGCAAACAAGCTGACAGCCCACCTGATGGAAAGTGGTAACCGTCGTCTATAGACATGAGTAGTGCCATGGACATAACAGGGTATACTGTTTCGTCCATGATACCTCCCATACGTTGCCATTCCTGAAAACAGGCATAGTTTATGAAGAATGGTATCTAAATAATCCACTTGTATTTCAACAAATATTCCTAATACACAGCGGAATCTATGCATGATATATATTAAAGGTTACAATTTTTTTTTTCAATTTTTCGTACCTGATTGTGTTGGTTTTGTTCCGCCATCGCCTTTTCCTTCGCTTGCCGTTTACATTTGTAGCGATGATTTTGAAACCATATTTTAACCTGCGACAAAAAAGAAATGTTAAAAAATGGAAGTGAAATAGATTACTAATATAATAAAATTGTAACTTGACAATGACTGTATAATTGTCACATATTTTTCACCATATCTGCCCTTCATACGCTTTTTGCTTTCACCTAATGGTTAGCTGGTGGGGGGAAAGGGATTGTTAGTAATGAAAACTGAGAATCCCATTGCTAGCAATATATCCAACCAGGTTGACATCCTCGCGGTTCCCCCTGGAAACTATCATGGTTAATTCCTGATGAATTCATCATGATGGGCTAACTGGCCTGTTTTCATTCTCATCTATCACCCTTCACTGGTGCTCCACCAGCGTATTCCGTTAGCGCAGGCGGGGTTACCATACCATTTTCACCCATAAAAAAAAATTGTTAGCTGGTAGAAAATGCCATATGGCATTAAGGTCGCCATTTGTATAAAGTTTTATTGTACAATAAAAAATTAATAAAATAAAATAATGACTGTATAAAGGAGATATGTAGGAAAAATTAATAAGAAGAGTCTTAATAATGTATGTATGTAACTATGGCGGGCCATATGGTCCCGCCATAGTTGACATGTTGTCTGGCATAAAATAGGCCAGCCCTTCCTTTTCACTAGACGTTATAAAAGGCGACTAAGAGAACTTAATGACAGAGGAATCGGCAGCAGCGTTTTAAAACACCACTAAAAGTCTGGCTGCGATTGCCAACCCGCCAGCGAAGCGTGGCAACTACCGGTAAGACTTCCCTTATGGGGGAAGCTTATTTTCATAAGTAGACAGTAAACGGATGATATGGCCACAACTAATAAGAAAATAAGAAGGCAGTATAATTTTTTTTTTAAATTTTATCTGTCTCTCTGCATTTTTGTACCAATATCACGCATAAAACTACTACACAAAATTGAATTTGGTTTTCCCGGTTTTTTTTTTAATGGATGATAATGGAATGGTAACCCCACCCGCGCTATCGGTATACACCGGCGGGCACCAGTGAGGGATAATAGGTGAGAATGAAGTAGGTCAGTTAGCCCATCGTGACGAATTCAACAAGAATTGTTCACGATGGTTTCCAGGAGGAACCACGTGGAGGTCAACCTAATAGGGCATATTGCTAGCAATGGGGCTGTCAAACACCATTGCTAACAATCCCATTCTCCCCTAATTTTCCCGGTTATACTCTTGTAGGTGTAACTAAAAAAAAAACAGTGTGTACGTTTCACCTTGATACGACATCTAGTAGTGATGTATTTCATTTATTTTTCTACTTTTAAAATCCACGAGTACGAAGTACACATAGTAACCAAATAGCTAGTACAAAATATGAGAACGCTTCTTTAGTGCAGTAAGTTGGTACCAACATTCAGATATAAATGAAATATGGTAGTCTCTCCACTTCACGCGATGCAAACAAGTGGAGAGATTCTTTAACGATCTATGGCTTCTAAGAAATAACTCACAATGATGAGACAATTTGCAGCCAAGATAAAAATGTTTTCAATTTGACTGTATTTTTTTTGTGTTTGTTACGGTGATATCTTCACACCAATTAAGTGATTTAATTCTGTACCGCTCCAGATGGTTCATTTTCGTAAGACAAGATTTAGCGCACTACCGAGACTTTCCTATACTAATTTTTATAACTAATATTTTATAACTATATAATTATAACATTTATTTTCTACTTTATATTTTATTAAGATTTTATATATTTTTCGATTATATTTCACAAGGCAATTTCAATTGTGATGAAATTAGTGTAGGACAACTTAAGCGAGGATCGAAGAACGATGTCAATTAAAACAGTATAAATTGTTTTAATGGAATACCTGTTGATGAACCTATACATAGTGTATGTTGTTCAACATACATGGTACATACTCGTATATAACATCCATACATAATTTGCATGTCTAGTGTAAGTATTTTTCATACATAACCTGAACTAATTCTCTTAATACTGAAAATGTTGCTTGTTACTTTAACATTTTCAATATTAAGAGTGAACTGAAAATGTTGCTTGTTGTTTGTTAGCAAAACAAAATATCTTTGCTACGAAATTATCTAGAGGCTTGGTACTTTGTTAATATTCATGTATCTATCACGTTGTTGCAGAGACAGGCATACTTTCATGAGACAGCTAGTAACGTGACTTGACGGAATTAATCCCCATCCGAAACAGCGAGACGAGTCAACAACTTCCCGCGACGTTACCCGCGCCTGACCTCCCTGAAATTAGCGCTGCGGCACAGTCAACACTCCACCTTAATGACGAAAGAATAAACACTGTATATGCGATGTTTGCTCCACGAAGCGGGCAGCCTTTGTCTACGCACGCTCGGAACGCAGCAAAATATACTCTTTATTTATTATTTATACATCGAGAGTGATTCCTCCGTGTTTATTCTTTGAAATGGATGTGTGCCTCACCCCAAGTATGGTTTCTCGAACCGTTCCGTTATGAAAATGCTCAACTCGCCATTTTGTCGATGTCTCGTCTCAATACAAAGTTTTGAGATCCGTTATAAAAACAAGGTAGAATCGTTACATGGCTACTACGGACGCGTTGTAGTGCCCACTTGGCGACTGAGCTCGAGAGCTTATTGGAGGTCTTATTTGTTATTTTTTTTTTGTTTACACTGTAGGTGTAGACGTACTCATTCGCGCTATGGGAACGTTGGAAATGTTGGCAGCAGTGACGCGCGCTTTTGTCCGGCTGCGTTCAGGAATGATGCTCGCTAGATTATTTATGGAGTAGATGAGAGTTAATGAACGGGACCCGTTGGCGGGCGTCGTTTATTGCACTCCCGACGAGGCTCGGACGCCCTCGTGTCGAGTACTTTCTTTTCAATCTCCTTGTGCATAATGCTCGGTGTTTCCTTGCACGCACTCTCCGCTAGAGAGCACCATTCACTTATTTGTTTTGCATCTAAACGACTGTTGTATCTTGGCGTCAAGCGACGAGACATTTTGGATGATAGTTAAGAGTCCACTGTATGTACATGTTTAAGAATTTTACACCCACTTCGCTACCGTGCGTTTGTTTTTCTAAAACCACTTAAATACTTAGAAGTACCTACCTATGTACATAATTAGAAAAGAAAGGGAAAGTCGTTTCCTTTTCTTTCATTCAATATTTTTCATGTTAGCTCGAAAGAAATTAATAAGGACCAGCAGCTGTTACCAATCATAGTTTTTTTAAGCAAGTTTAATATGGTGGTTACAAATTCATAAAATACGAGTATCACAGCCACTGGGCAATTAGTAATTCTCTTTTTGTTATTAAAGATTTTTTATCTATATATAATTAGAACAATAAGCATTTCTTACAAAAAATAAAAACATCTAAGTCCAGCGTTTACTTTTTAAATTAAACTCTTTAAGAAATCCTTAAGATTCTTGATCTATGGAAACAATACTATATATTTTTCCACCAAGGTATAATAATATTATGACGTAAACTGCTATTTTAAAACAATTTCTTTACAAGCAATATTATGTCATATTATTCAACAATCAAACAGTATACATCTGTTAAATTAACTCAACATGAATAATAACCGTTTAGTAAATTACGAATTTATATAGAAAAAAAATATTATAATTATTATATGCCTTTTTAAAATAACCACAAATTTTAAAATTGTTTAAAGTTTTTACCAAATTATGGCCACCCAGTCGGCTGTCATCTTGACAATACAAGTCAATTTTGGCGCCAATATCTCTTGACAGATATGAAACTTTTATTAAAATTCGACCTACGAGATACGGCATTGAGTTCAAAATCTAATCAACACCACGCCGCAATTGAGTCCGGCTCGTTATACCTCTACGCATGCGCGTAGGTGTTCCGTTCCTGCGAACGATGACTTGCAATTCAGTTGGACACAATTATTATAAATAAAGATTGCTCTCTTATTTGTTTAGCTCTTCATTTGGTACAGTGATTTTTTCCAGCGATGAGTCTACAATTTAATTCTGATATTTTCAAACTTATTTACTGACGTAACCAGATATTGACACATGTCATTGAAACAATGGCGGTTAATTGTTTCGAAGGCGATTCAAACAGAAAACCGAATAATGTATTTTATAATAACTAAGTACGTAATTATTGCCTTAATTTATACATTCTTGTAGAAATATAGAAAGAGATAGATATGCAATATTTTTACATACGATAAAAAAATTAAGAATAGACGGTGTTCATTCAACAAACGTCTACTAAATAGTTTGTCTTTTTATCATACTTCTCATTTTTATTACTATTTCATCCGTTAACTGTCCACTGCTGGACATAGGCCTCCCCCATTAAAGAAGTTTTGCTAGTAGTTGCCACGCTTGGCAGGCGGGTTGGCAGACACAGTCGGGCTTTGGTGACGTTTCAAGAGTTGGCCATTAAGTTAAGTCCTTAGTCGCTTTTTATGACACCCACAGAAAAGGAAGAAGATTTTACAAATCAGTTTAGAACTAACGGGATTTATGAGGGAATATAAAAAATACAACCAAACTGAGAATTTCCTTCTTCTTGAAGTCTGTTGAATAAATAGCTTTTTCAGTAAACATTAGCATTTTTTAGTTTAAAATTGCTGTTGCAAAACTGCTGTTGAGACTGATATGTAAAAAGTTCAGTTTATATATCTAATATTCTGTCCGTTCATACATATAAAAGACACAAAATAAACATTCATTAAAGAATTCTCAACTACCCACCGTGTCACTGATTTGTCAGTCGCTATGCGTTCCAACAATAGTTGATTGTCGCACTTTATTATACAGAAATATTGTATTCAATCGCGCACTGAGTAAACACACGCTCGGCTCTCTGACAGCCGATCAATACCCTTCATTTATTTAGTAACTTATAAAAATATCACGCGGGACCAGCAAAAAATATCACAAGTAAATGGTTAAATATTCCAAGCAAATTGCCACAGCATTTTAAACTTTATAATTGAGCAAAGAAAACAAATTTAACGGATTAACATTTTGTGACGA